CCAGCATGGCCTTAGGATGGTCATCGCCTGCCATTTGCAAAGAAATCCACAAGACAGCCCAGTCCCCTAGTGCCCAAGGACACTGGACAAGGGCAGGGCAACATGAAAGCCCAGCAGGGCTAAGGGGTTGATGAAAGAAAGTGCAGACTGACGTGCTGTCTGCGGGCATCCCTCCACATCCTCCAACCCCACACTGGGGTTGTGCAGCCCCTGTGCTGTACATCCAGCTGGGCCTAGGCCTGGATGCTGTGTCCTGGCAACCTGTGCTCCAGCCTGAAGAGAGGGATATCTTTTTGTATTTCATATGCCCAGAAGGAGCTACCTTTTGTGTATTGGAGGAGGGGAAGTCCAGCTGCATAACAAAAATACTTAGTGGCATAAAACAAGTTTATTATATCTCATGATCCTGGTGCCCAGCTAGACGATTATGCTGGTCTCACTTGGGGTCTCCCATGCCTCTACTGAAACAGTGATTGGGAGTTGGACGTCTGGCACCTTGGTGTCCCCCATGGAGCTTCTCTCTGTGTCACATCTCATCCTCCTCTTTTATTTGTGGCTTCTCCCTCCAGCAGGTCATCCTGGACATCTTGCATGACAACCCATGGCTCCATAAGGGAGGAAGTAGAAGCCTCCAGACCTTCTGAAGAGTGTCACTTCTGGAATATATCAGTCATAGCATCAAAGCCAAGTCCAGATTCAAGAGGAGAGTACATAAGCAATGCAGGAGCTGCATGTACATACAGTGAGGGGCGGGTTTATTTGGGGCCATCTGGGTGGATCTGGGATGCCCACAGGGAGGGTACCAGTGGTGGCCCTGCCTGTGCATATCCTGTTCTTTCTGAATATCTGAAGAAAATCCCAGCAAATGCATCTCAGCTTTCCAGATCCAGATCAACATACCCTCATGTTCTGCAAGACCTATTGCAAGTTATGAAACCCCAACTCAAGTAGACTTGATGCAGAAAAGGTTATTTATGTATTCATGTACTCATAACTGAAAAGGTTGGGCATCATAAAATGCCATCAAGAACCGACCTCACAAAACAAATACAAGATGATTTCATTTGTATGTGGAATTAAAGAACAAAATGAAGAAAATAGAAACAGACTTGTGGATACAGAGAACAGACTGATGGTTAACAGAGGGGGGTTGGGGAACTGGGTGAAAAAAAGTGAAGGGATCAAGAAGTACAAATTGGTAGTTATAGAATAGTCACAGAGATGTAAATTACAGCACAGGGAATACAGTCAATAATAACTGGTGCTGAGTGGGTACTTGAAAATATCAGAGGGGACCACTCTGTTTAGTACATGATTGTCTAACCACTATGCTGTACATTTGAAACTAATACAGAATAGTATTGAACGTAACTGACAAAAAGAACCAATCTCACTCCCCCACCCTTCACTCTGCTGTCCTGCCTGCTGGCTTCTTCACACAGGCTATGTGGCCAGGCAGGAATGATGGCCACTACCACATGCTGGCTTAGATTCTACCAGCTTCTCCACTTGGGTAGAGAGTACTTTCCTAATCATTCTAGCAAAAACCCAGGGCAGCTCTCATTGGCCTGGTCAGAGCCCTGTCCCTACCCCTGCAGCAGTGCTGGTGGTCAGCCCCACATGAACCACCTGTATTGAGAATGGGGAAAGTACCATCCCTCAGAGGATTGGGGGTGGACAGAAGAAGAGGAGGCTTCCTTGGCAGAGATGGTCACTGTCTCCTCAGCCTCCCAGCCCATTTCCTGCCATCACAGCACTTAGCAAATCCTGCAGTCATTTCCCCTGCCAGGCTGTGAGCTGCTCAGATCTGAATCATGTTGCTTCCACGTTGCCAACTGGGATTGCTTTTGAGTCTTTTCTACCCACAGGCTTTCCCAGCTCTTTCCTCTATTATGAGCACCTTCCCCTATAGGCCCAGGGGTGGGCATGTAACCAACCTGAGATTGCTATGTAGATGTAGGAAGAGAGTTCTTGCTTCATGTGGGTGCTAAGCTAGGACGGTATGAATTGGTGGCAGCCAGTGCATCTTCCCCACCACTTGAAGAGATGAGAGAGTGATGAAGAGAGACCATCTCAGTGATAGAGCCTTGGTGCCAGGTGCCAAGTCCTGATTTCGGCAGTTTTTCCTTTTAGCCTGTGAACTATCCCGGTTACATGAGCCAATGAATTCATTTTTTGCTTATGTGAGAGTTGGGCTTCTGACACTTGCAATCAAAATACTTCTAATTTGACTCTCAGTAAATGTATTGGATAGTGGATGGGTGGGTGAATAACGAAGACTAATGACCGAGTGCTGGCCATATACTATTGATGTTGCTGTGGTGTCTTTCTCAGTCGTGTCTGGAGCACTAGAATTCAAACTCAGGGTCAATGTACAATGTGAACCATAACTGTACAGTTCCAGTAACTGGAGTTGCCAGGGTCCCAGAGGTGGGTGGGGGTGATCAGACTGACTACAATTACTAAAATGCACAGGAGACTGCTGAATGAAGCAGGTTCCAAGTTTTATATGCAAGACGAACCCAACCGCTGTGTGACCAGGATGCTTGCAGTGGAAGATTCACACATTGTCTCCCAGTAGGAAAGCACGAGGCAAAGGAAGTAATGCTAGAGGTTGCTTGGTGACTGTGAACTGTGGACCCTGCATCACCACTCAGCTCTGATAGTCTGAAGTCTCCTCTCCGGGTGAAGACTTGCTGGCCAGGGGCCAGCACTGGTGACCAAGATCCCTCACTCCATGCCCTGGACATGGACACACCCTGTCCATCTGTCTTCCCTTCTCTGGGCTCAAGACCTCCAGTTTTCTTCACAGAGGGCCCACTATTACAAGTAGAGTTGCGGAGTCCAGTCAAATGCCCCCAGAGCGTCCTTTTCTCTGGGTTTGCTGTATTATCCTGCAATTGATTGAAAACCCACCTCAGCTTCAACAAAACAAAGGGATTAGTGGGCTCAAATCACTGTAAAAAGCCAGAAAGAGTTCATGGCTTCAGGTGTGGCTTGATCTGGGGGCTAATGCCACTCTCAGCTCTGCTAACCCCCATGTTGACTTTGTTATCAGGAGCCATAATGAAGCAGAAGGGATGGCTGCTCCTACAGGATGCAAGACGGGAAGGAAAGAGAGAGCTTCCCTCAACAGCTAACCAAATATCTTGGGACTGATTCTCATTTCGATCCTTGAACCAAACACCATGTTCAAGGCAATGTTCTACCTGGCCAGAAAGAAGTCACATGCCCTCTCCTGAAACTAGATTGTTTTCAACCTCACTCAAGGCACATCTGCAAAGACTTAGGTCCAGAGAAAAACACCTTCCAGAGATGTTGCTTCTGGAAGAAAGAATAGATGCTGTGTGAAGCAAAGGCCCAAGACCCACTCTCTAGTAAGCCTCCGATAGTACACACAGGGTCCCTGCTTCTCCAGGCACCTGCTGGGCCTGGTTTCACTGCCAGTGTGTGGAGTCAAGAGAAGGTGCCTCAATAACCTAGCATGTGGGAGACAGGAGCTCCCATTTCAGAGCTCAGACTCACCTTAGAGAAGTAACGAGAAGGGGAAAGACAGCAAGTCCATTTCTGTTTTTAAATACAGTATATGTTATTTAAACCATGTTTTTCATTGTTAAGCCAGGATTTTCATTGTTAAAAAAATAAGCTATCATTTAGAACTGAAGGTCAGATAAAGAGCTTCCCAGATAAAAAAATGCTAAAGAAGTTCATCACCACCAGACCAGTACTACATGAAATGTTGAAGGGTCTTCTTTAAGAAGAAGCTAATGAACAAAAGAACCTGACAGACAAAATAGACCCAGAGACACTGAAGCATGCAACAGACGGTCATATCTCAGAGGGAAGGGGGAAGGGGGATGGAGGGT